GGGCCAGGAGAAAGCTGGGTTCCATGCTCCCCACACTTCACAGGCTACATGGCCAGCCTCTGACTGAGCAGAGTCCAGCCCAGCTCTAGGTCCCTGATAGGGAGACGGAGGTCAGCTGGGGAGAAAGGAAGGGGTCCTGGGGAGGGCCTGGGTTTCCGTCTTGGCTCTCCCACTTTCTTCGACCTTGAGCAAGGTGTTTGACCTCCCTGAGACTTAGTTTCCTCATCTGTGAAATGGGACCTAACTCAAGCTGTTTATGAGGATCAGATGAGAGGTAGGTTGTAAGCACATGCGGTTAGTCGAGAAGGGCACGTACATGTGAGGATCGTCCGAAGCTCCCTGCGTGCATTAAAACCTCTCCAAGTTCTTGGCTGCGCGAGGGGACTCAGCAGGCCACTCGGCCTGGTGTGGATCATCAAGAATGAGGGCTGCGATAGCCACAGCTGAAACCTTCTGTTCAGACAGTGAGGAGTATGGGAACCTTGTTGCATGAGGGACCTGGATTCTTGACCTGACTTGGCCATTTCCAAAATACCAGTGGACTCGTTGAGAATATTTAAATTGTTCTGTGTGGGTCCCAGTCATAGCCAAGGGCCAAAAGGGTTGGTAGAGGTGGTAGATTTCAGCTCAGTCTTTGGATAAATTCCCCCCACCAAGGAAATGGCATCTGAGGAAGTAATGAGTTCTTGGTTCCTGGAGGCTTCAGAGCCTGGCCATCTCCCAGGAGCCTGAGTTCCCTCCTTCCTTTTCTGAGGTTCTGGGGGGGGGGGAGGCAAGGAGGGGTCCTGGCAGCCTCTCCCAGCCCTAGTCCGTGGTGCTTACCCTATACCTCTGAAACCACCACTCAGAAACCACCTTCTTCAGTGCCTGTAAACACCAGGAAGGCCTTATGATGCTCAGGGTTGGTTTGTTGGTTTGGTCTCCACCAGAGCACTCAGCCCCACAGCCCTCCTTGTTCCATCTCCTCACCTGAGGATTCTTGACCCCCTGGGCTCATTAACCCTCAAGCGTTTCAGGGTCCCTAAAGCCCTCAGAAATGCCCCTGTCAGGGTCAGTGTTAGCCCAGTCAAGGCAGAGCTCCTATAGGAGGGCCGCTGGTGGGAGCCTCCAGCACATTGTCTCCTAAGGAGTGGCACCCAGAGCCCTGAGAGAGGAGGGGAGCAGGAGCCGGCTCCTGTGCAGCACTCTGTGGTTGTTCCTGCGCACGTGCTCACCGACTTCTCCCACTGTTACAAACGGAGGTGTTCTCCCCTTCTTATTTTAGATCCTGGTACCATCTGCCCTGGTTTTCATGCATCACTAGCTCCAGGCTGCAGGTTAGATCTGGCTTGGCCGCCAGCTCTATCCCTCACTTGGTGAGAGACTTACAGTTGTCTGTTTCCTTTGGTATAAAATGAGATTCTGGCTCCACCCTACCTACCTCCCAGGGCTGCTGTGAGAATCGGGGGAGAGGAAGGGGTGAACTGTCTGTGTAATGTGCTCAACTATACAGATGTCCCTGGTTGTTACCTGGCAGCCTGAGCCTGGTGTCTCCTGAGCTGAGGGTGTGTGTGTGGTGGGGGTGGGGGTGGGGCTCTGCTTGCTCACGCCCACACCTCCACCAGGTTTGCAGAGCTGGGCCCTGTTTGAAATACAGGAAGTGAGCAGGCCACACAAGGGGGGAATCTTTGGCAGGCCCCCTGCTGTGGGCAGCAGGGGCACAGCCCAAGCAGCTTGTGGCCGGCAGGGCCAGGCAGCCTGTCACCTGCTCACAGTGCCTCTTGGCCCAGGGTGGACTGTCAAGCACATGCGCTCTGTAACAAGGCACTGTCAGGAGGTCAGTGCAGGCTGACAGCAGGCCATGGGACCCACGGACAGAGGTACTACTGGGCAAAGTCTGGGGCGCAAGCTGAGTCTCGCCTGAGGCCCCTCCCACAGTTAGAGGTTTTGTCTACTTGCTTTCCCTCCTCTTGCCTGAGGCACCAATTGAGGCCCTGGACTGAGAGCCACTGGCTGAAGGTCACACCACAGGGGTGCACAGCAGGACCGGCAGAGGGTACTGGATGCTCTCCAGCCTCACAGGCCCTGAGGAAGATCAAATGAAATCATGAATGCTTGGTCCCTGGCCCAGGGACCTGCTGACTGGGAGATGGGAGTGTCCGTCAAGGGGCCCAGGCTAGTCCTACTGGCCGGAGACAGTGGGAAAAACATCAAGCCTCACTGACCCAGGGAATCCTTCCAAGGGGTGGATGCTGGAGACAGTGCTCCTCTCCAAGGCAGCGCCTGGACAGTAGGACTGCACAGTGAGAGCCGGTGGCAGCCTTTGGAAGGTTTCGTCTCTCCTCTCAATCCCACAAGAAGGGGCAGCTCTCTGCAGACAATCAGTGAGGGCCTAGGTGTCTGCTGACCCTGACCCACCCAGTTCCCAGGGTTGTTGGGGCCGCAGGGTCAGTGATGGTGGACAGCAGCACTCCGGGGACTGTGACACTAAATAATTCACTTCCCCTGTTGAGAACCACCACCTCTGTTCTGCCCACCTCAGCCGACTCTTGTGAGGATCAAAACCAGACTGCACCTCAGTAGGCACTAAGCTGCCAGAACGTGAATGGTAAATGTGAGGTTTTAATTAGTACTGAGGTTATCAGGAGGGGAGGTTCTCTGGGGTTTTCAATCACAGGGACAAAAGTTAAAACTCAGGCAGCCTGCAGGCCGGCCCAGCAGTTCTAGCCTTCTCCTGGAGACCCCAGCAGACTTGGATGCAGCTTCTCCAGTGTTCACGTTACTGCTGACCCCAGCTCTGAGCGTGAGACCTTCTCCCCCACCTGCTGGATCCTAGCTATCCATGCATTTTTTCCTTTAATAAAATTAAGCACGAGCCCTAGCTGGTTTGGCTCAGTGGATAGAACATTGGCCTGTGGACTGAAGAGTCCCGGGTTCGATTCCAGTGAAGGGCACATGCACGGGTTGCGGGCTCGATCCCCAGTAGGGGGTGTGCAGGAGGCAGCCGATCAATGATTCTCTCTCATCATTGATGTTTCTATCTCTCCTTCTCCCTTCCTACCTGAAGTCAATAAAAATATATTTTTAAAAAATTAAGCATGAAAATAAAAGATGTGAAAATGCAATTCTGAAAGGCAAGCTCTGTGAGACAAAAGGACCTTAGTGTTATGTGAACATGATGGCCATCACATGTCCCTCTCTGGGCTCTACGGCATTTCAGACCTGCCTGCCCTCACTGTCATCCCTGCAGGCCTCTCGGCCTCACCTTGCAGAAGGGAGCTGGGACAGGGCACCCCTGACTGAAGACAGGGGACAAAGGGACACAGGCAGGGTGAATTTGCTCATTGTGGGATCTGCTTTCCCTTGGCACTGCCTGAGCCCCGTGGTCAGTCCCAGCTGCCGAGGTCCTTCTGCCTTCTCCTAGCATCAGCTCCACATTGAAGCCAGATAGCTACAGAGCCGCGGGAGCTGTTTCTAAAGGGCCTTGTGTCTTTGTGCCAGTGGGCATCACAAACCCTTTGAGAGACCTCAGGCTTGAGTGGAAACTCCCAGCCCTGAGCACAGGGTGTTCCGGCTGTGGGTGCAGGGCGCCCTCTCGTGGCCGGCATGGCCCTTCCAGGGAGGACGGAAGTGCAGTGCTGTGATTGGCGAGGCTTGACACTCAGGATCCTGTCCTAGGCCTGCAGCCACCTGGAGGAGGGTAGTGCCTGGTTTAGGTCCGAACATCTAGGCCCTGGGAAATTTCAAGGAGGGCAGCCTTCAAACCCAACTCTAAGAAATGATGACAGCCTATCAGTGACCTGACTTCTTAATTAAAAATAAGGCCACAGCCCTCGCCTGTGTGGCTCAGTTGGTTGGGAGTCATCACATGCACCAGGAGGTTTGGGTTCGATTCCTGGTCAAGGGCACATGCCTGGGTTGTGGGCTCAATCCCTGTTAGGGAGCATGCAGGAGGCAGCCAATCGATGTTGTGCTCTTACATCTATGTTCCTCTCCCCCTCTCCCTTCCTCTATCTCTAAAAATCAATAAATCATTCTTTTTAAAAAAGATAAGGCCACAGTAGGAAGGCAAGTCATCAATGAAGGCCACCCTACAGAACAGGTGTGTGTGTGTGTGTGTGTGTGTGTGCGTGAATGTGTGAGTGTGAACACCACATGAGATAGACAGAGACTTGCCCCACCCTGGGGGAGAGGGTGCCACAGTGCCTGGCCTTTGCACCATAGCTCCTACCCAGAATGCCTCAGGGGTTCCACTCCAGGCAAAACTAATCAGACCCAAACCAGAAACGCTCTCTTAGCCAAAGAGTACCTCTCACTTAGTCTGTCCTAAGTCTTAAAAGAGGTTGGAGAAATCTCAAATGTAAATCTCCATAACATCCCACCCCCTCCACAGTCAGTTCTGAACTCTGGCCACACACACCGGCACCATGGACATGCAGAAAGGTGCACCGTGGGCACACGAGGCTCAGGCGAGGTCACAGAGCGGGACCCAGAGCGCCCTGGAACACAGAATGTGAAGCGGTTCTACAGCAGTGACAGGAACACATGACCTGGACCTCCACAAGCAGTAAAAGGATTATGCATGTATCCTCTCTGGGCTGCAAATTCTGTGTGTACAAAAGAAAAGAATCTGTCCCCTTACTCCTGAGACTGGCTTAAGGATCAAATGAGATACATGTTTTGAACGGGGTTTTGGCTTAAAATGTAAAAGATTAGGATTCTGTTTTATAATAAATCTATTTTTAATACAAAGATACTTCCCCCAAATCTTTGTATGAAATCAACTCCAGAAAGACAGAGGCACCATGTTTGCCCTGAGGTTTAGGGGCCCTGCCCACCACTCCGCACCCAATGGAAGAGGCCCGAGCCACTCACTGTGCACCCGAGTCAGGCTGGGCTACCCGTTTCGGTTGATAGTAAAACTGGTAGTGGGTCCTCCTGGGATGGTGGACAATCCACAAGTGAGTAATGAAGAGGTGACTACATAAGCTCCTTCCTCCCTCCCTCCCTCCCTCCCTCCCTCCCTCCCTCCTTCTTTTCCCTCCCGCCCACCAGGGCTCCCGACAGAAGCCAGCTAGAAACTCTTCAGTGTATGTAGATCCTGTCGGAGATCGCTCCGGGCAAGTGGGTCATGATCTGCATTCGCAGCCACCAGTAGTAGTCCATGGGATGGTAGCGGGTGTAGGGGTTGGCGGCGGTCAGGGCGTGGGTGATAGCGTTGATGACCGGGGTCGTGTCGGTGGAGCCACTGTTGCAGTAGGTCTCCATGGCGGCGACCTTCTCATCGAAGTACTTCTTGCCGTAGTCCTTGCGCACCACCTCGGGCAGCTCGTCCCACATCTTATTGGCGATGGCCTGGATGCCCTCGGCGCTGTAGAGGCTGGTGGCAGCGATGAAGTTGCCGGGTTCCACCACACAGACCTTCACACCCAGAGGGTGCATCTCGTAGCGCAGGCAGTCAGAGAAAGCCTCCACCCCGAACTTGGTGATGCAGTACGGGGAGCGGGCCGGGTTGGCCATGCGGCCCAGCATGCTGCTGATGTTGACCACACGGCCTACAGAGGAAGACAGCAAGCACTGCTCAGGGGTATGGCCTGGGGGGTGAGGGGCTGGTGGTGGCAGAGGGCCTAGGGCCTGGCATGTTTCCAGAGACCTGGCTAGAACCTGGCCTTCTGGCCCCTCATACTTATTTTGCTGCCTGCCAGGCTGGGGCCCAGCCTGTACCACACTGTCTGAGGGCCTTCTCATTCATCGTCAAGGCCAGCTCCCACCCACACATCAGTATCAACATCCCTGACCCTCTCCCGGCAGCCAGCCGTGCTGGGCAGGACAGAGGAGGAGAAATGAGTGAGAAGCAGAGCTGCATACCAGGAGGGCACAGTAAAACGCACAAAACACAACTAAGCTGTGTCTCACCTCCCACGTTCTCCCATTGTATTTCCCCCCAAAATGCTATTACCTGGCAGTGCTCTGTTGGCGAGCAGGGAGGGGCAGGGGCAGGGGCAGCAGGGAGGGGCAGGGGCAGGGGCAGCAGGGGCAGGGGCAGGGGCAGGGGCAGGGTTCTGGACCCGACTTCAGGGCTGGGACATGTGGGCAGAGTCTCGGGCACTGGGAGAGAGTGATGACCTCAGAAGGCTCTCCCACAGGCCCAGCTAGGTGTGCCAGACCACAGCTTCTCCCAGCCCTGGGGGCATGGAAGAGGCAGAGCCCATCCAGACAGACAGCCCGGGCAGACCTGGGACCCACTCACCCTGGGTGTGCGCCCAGGAAAAGGCACAGCCCCATCCTGGGCACTGTGGGAGGCTCCCTTCATAAACCTCTAAACTGGAAGGCACTGAAGGGTTGCGGTCTTCTTCTAAAATCCCACAGCGTTCTCTGGGTTCATCCTGTCGTTGCTGGGCCCTCGGGATAGATCACATGGATCTTCCCCTTTTTGCCATCATTGTTTGTTCTTCTAGGGAGGACATGTGAATCGGTGGCTTCCAGGTGGTTTACTTACATTGGCTCCTAACATGGTTTGGGCATGTGGTCTGTACACAAGGGTGGCTGTTCCTCCAGATTAGGTTCCCAGAGTGGGATTTGCTGCAGAGAAGGCTCTATTTTCTGAAAAACCACACATCCCTTTCCACCTGCCAGGCCACACCACCTCCGCTCAACACCCTCCACAGGCCCCCACAGGGCCCCTGGGAGAGGTTGGATCTGCTGAGACCTATTCCCATTCTGAGCAAAGATGAAAAGGTGGGGCAGGTCCAGGGGTCATGAGGAAGGTCCCTTTCCAGCTCACCTTTGGCCCTTCGGATGAGGGGGAGAAAGGATTTTGTCGTCCGCACTGTGCCCCAGAGGTTCACTTCCGCCACCTGCTTGTAAGTCTCCATGCTGGTGAACTCCACCTCCCCGAACGTCGAGATGCCCGCGTTGTTGACCAGGCCCCACATACCTGGTTGGGAGGGAACAGAACGGAGGTCACCACATGGGCTAGATCACCCATCAGCCTGCAGCCCGCTCCCCTCCTCACTTTCATCCTTTTCCCCATGACTTGCCAGCCTTATGCCCAAGGCTCTCGGGACACCTTCTAGAGTCACCAAAGAAAACAGGAGACAGTGCTGGCTGTAACCCTCCCTTAGATCTACCACCAATCCTTATATTTCTTCTGCCTTAACTGAGTCTCTGGGCCCATCATGACCCAGCCCTGCCGGTGCCCCAGCCTGGAGTCCCACCTCACCTCACACACTGCCACTCTCTTCCAGTCAGTCTCACCCCACACTGCATGGGGCACTGTGTAGTCATCCCTGCCTCTGAACTTCCCCTCTTGCCAGAAGCCAGGGGAACCTCAGGAGTCTTCCAGGCCAAGCCTCTCTGGAAGACCAGAGAGGGGACCCAGCGTCCAATGTCACACAGCCAGTAAGAGGCTCGGTCAAGCCTTGATCTTGGGTTGGGCCTCCATCCTGCTTCACCCTGAGACCCAGCTAGCAATGACGCCATGCTCTGACCTCCCTTCTCTGAACCATGCACTGGTGCTGGTTATCATGTGGCAGGTGACCCGGTAACCTGTTCCTCAATACCCCAGGTGTGTACACCTGGCCTATGCAGGTAGAGAACACCCCTCAGCCTTGTGTGGTCCCACAGGTACAGGGTCAGAGCAATTGGACACTCACCCAGGATACTTGCGCTGGCTATTTCCAGTAAAACCAGCAACGGGACAGCTGGCTTTTCTAGACACAGAACGCTGGTGCTAGAAGGCTCCTTGGAGGTCATGTAGTCTGATAACTTATTTCAGAAACAGGGATACGGACCCCTGGGGAAAGGGCTGGCTGCAGTGCCCAGTACGTTAGAGGCAGAGCCTAACTGGGGAGGTGGCAGTGAGGAGGCAGCCGCGTTTTGCACACCCTCTTTGAGTTCTGTTTTTTTGGGGTGCAAGGACTGGATGCGCTAGAGCCTCAGGACAGAACAGGCCCTGCCTCTTTGTTGTGGAAACCCTCAGGGTTCAGTGTGGGAACTCTGGCCCCGCCTGCTTCCTGAGTTCATCATGGAGTTTGTGTAAATGACAGAGTAATTGGTCTCTGGCTGCTCCCTTCCGTGCTACCCAAATTAACGCTTCATCAACTGACCTCTGGTGCCTTCTCCTTCAATTACGGGAAATTAAGGACATTTATTAGGGAAAGGAAATTGCTGGTTAACAAAGTCCTCATGAAGTTCTCACTCCCACTCGCCGAAAGCTAAAGCCACTCCGCCGAAGCTAAGAGCTCAGCCCCGCGTTCTCAGGTCGTACGCGAGGACCTTGCGAGGACCTTGCAATGACTCAGGCCAGGACAACCCCCCACAGCTGCCGTCCCCTCCCCTCCCCGCCCCTCCCCCAGCCCTGCAGATTCCGCCATCCCCTCCCCTCCTCTTCCCAGGAGGCCTCTCTCGGCACTTGCCATGGCTGACACTTCACTCTCCACCTTCCTAATGGCAAGCCATCAATCCTCTCTTGTTTTTGCAACTTCCACTCTTCCATTGTCCCTGTCTCCTTCCCTTCAACGTCGTACACATTAGGTACTTCATAGATGTTGGGGAGGTGAATACAAATACCATGTCTCCATATCCTAAAGTACCTTCTCTTTACCATGCTACTCCCTCGTGCTATTCTCGGCTCCCCTCCCCTCTGAGGCCAGTCTTCTCACAAGCTACCCTCCCCAGTTTCCCATTTCCCTGCCATTCTGGGTCCCAGCCCTACTACTGGCTGCTCTGGTTATCAAGGGTGCCACATGCTAATGACGCCCCTGGTCTTCACTCTCAACTTCTCCACCGTATGAGTGCTACTGATGGTGCCTGACACTCACTCCTCCCTCGGCGTTAATAATACCCAAGCGTCTCCTCCATCCTCCCTGCCACCTCTCTTCTACCTGCCCCACTAACATACAGGTGTCGCCAATGTCCTGTCCTAGACCACCTATCCTCAAACTATACGCACTGCTGCCCGGCCAGTGTGTCTTAGGTTGAACACTGACCTATGAACCAGGAGGTCCCGATTTGATTCCCGGTCAAGGCACATGCCTGGGTTGCAGGCTTGATCCCCAGTGGGGGTCGTGCAGGAGGCAGCCAATCAATGATTCTCTTTCATCATTGATGTTTCTCTCTCTCTCTCCCTTCTTCTCTGAGATCAATAAAAAAATTCATGTTTTTAAAAACTACACTCAGTGCTTAGGCAGCCTCATTTTCTTTATGTTCATGGGATTTTCCAGCTGCTTTGTGTTCGATTCATATGGGGCAGTATCACACAACCTAAAGTAATCTTTCTTCCATCTAACATCAATGACATCTGACGCCGATACCCAAAAAGGTTTACCGGAAGTTGGCCTGTGAAAGCACACTGTGCCTGGGTGATAAGCAGGACAGTGTGTGGACCCAGGAGCCTCATGACATTCCTGCTGGTCTGGTGACAGCTGTGTTCCTGCGGCAGCCCCATCACAGCAGCCCCATCACACCTCCGTGTGGAGGGTCAAGGCTCTCTCCTAACCCCAGTCCCCTCCTCCTGACAGGCACTTTCACCTGAATGTCCCGCAGGTCCCCAACTCACCCTAACCACACCGACATATCGAGTTCCCAGCTGCCCAGCCCTGCCCCTCCTCCTTGTTAATAGTTTCACTTTAATGGTTGACTCCTCTGGCTTCTTCATTTCTCCCCCATCTGATGAGTACTGTTAACATTACTGATAAAGATCAAAAGGACGGCTGCCAGGCCCTGAACTAAACATTTTGCATCTACTAATTCACCTGACCCTCACAACCGACCTATAGGGTAGATATTAAGTTGTCCCGTATCTGAGTGAGGCACTGAGGCTCAGAGAGGTGAAGCATCTGCTCAGTGTCACCCAGATAACGAGCGGACAGGATGGAATCTGGACCCGGTCTGTGTGAGGACACAGCCCTCATGCTTAACCCTGTGCTGTTACTGACTTCCTCTCATGTCACTAGAATCGGCGTCTGCTATCCTGTTTCCACGGCGTAGTTTGGGTCCTGTGTTACTGGGAAGCTTCTCCCAGGTCTGCCTCTCTTCGTCTCTCTCCTCCACCTCCATCCTGATCCAACCGCCTCAGCCCTAGTCTCCTCTCTCAGTCACGTCCTGCTCTGAAGGTTCCCTTCCCTAGTGGGGTATGTGAAGCATTTTCCAGGCTTCTCTCACCCACTTCCACTCCCTTTCAAGTATTCTGCCTTCTCTGAACTGCCTGCCACTCCTCTGACATCAGGGCCCCTCCC